GGAGATCGAATGAAGACGGTCATGGAGGAGTAGGGGGCAGGAGGAGCAGAGAAGGTCATGGAGGAGGAGGAGGTAGCTATAGTGACAGTCTTAGCTATACTCTCTGTGAATATTGAGTTTATTGATGCACGATTAGTCAATATATTAGCAAATATATGCGTACCGTCATCTCCCGTACCGGCTTGAATATAGACACCCCCCATAGAAATAGAACCGTTTCTATTGCTGCGATCGCAGTCGGCGACCGTATTTTCGATTGTAAGAGAACTCATGTCACATGCGTCTAAACAGAGGAATTGTTCCGACCTGTGATTGGAGGATAAAAATAGACCCCGCCCACTCCCGCCGCATACGCTATTATGCTATGACCGGTAGGAACGTGTACTAACTAACATATGGAGCGAACGATTTGAGTTACATTTCTATAAATTCTAGCTCTTATAGACACATGTCTTAGCTTTAATCTCTGTGAATTTTGAGTCTATTACAGCACGATTAGTCTAATTAATTAGCAAATATGCACTCGCAGCTAGGGCCTGCATACCTCCCAAAGTTGTACTCGGTCGGGTTTTTAACGCATTCTAACTCTAAAACTGTTACGTTAAACATTCTTAAAATATTTACATAAACAGGCAAGACGGTTGTCATTTTGAATACGAAGTTTTATTTCCTATCATAGGTTATTTCAAAAGTTACATCAGCCGAAAGTTGCTACCATGCCCGCTAGATCGCCCGTGCCATATTGTCTATATTAGACCAGCCAGTGTTGCAACCGAGTCAAGGTAGCAACTTTCGGCTGATATAACTTTTGAAATAAACTACGATAGGAAATAAAACTTCGTATTCAAAATGACAACCAGCTTGCCTGTTTATGTAAATATTTTAAGAATGTTTAAGTTTAACGTAGGCCTAACAGTTTTAGAGTTAGAATGTGTTAAAAACCCGACCGAGTATAACGTTGGGATGTATGCAGGCCCTGGCTGCGAGTCTCATTGGCTAAGACACGTGCGGCTATGACCGGTGAAACAAAACGTCACGAATTCTATTTTTATCCTCCAATCACAGCTCGGAGCAATACACCGATTGACAGTTCCGCGCCTGTGTTCTGCGCCAGTAGTTTCGCATCTCCGCGAGAGCCCGGATGTACGAGTAAACTCCGCCATGTTCTTTATCTCGATGCGTTATCTGCCTTGCATACGCAGGTCGCTCACCTTTGTGTCGAAGAACAGTGCACGTAGCAGGGAATAGAGCACTGATAATGGATGACCTGAGTGACATGACACTTGATACATTTAAATTATGGAAGGTCAATGCATGCTCTAAAAGTCTTTCTTAAGCCAATACGATCCGTTTGAGCAGCCCTTCACACTACACGTTAACGCCATAATTCTGGGACGGAAAATTCCTCCCGACCTTTGACCTTAGGCTTAGCGCATGCGCAGTGTTAAACTGTCAACCGGTGTATTCACAGGCACTTGGAACGTCTCAATAAAAACAATTAATGGTAAATAAACACGAAATGTACCAAAGTCTTAATGTTTCTCTACTCTATTTCGCCTATAATCACCTGTAAATGTCAGTTAAATGCTCATCTGCAACACGCAAGTAGTGAAGTACACCGCACACCCGCGCTGTGCACAAACAACATGAATAAGAGAGCAGGTAGGAAAGCGGGGGTCGCGAAATTCACTCGACGCTCGCTTCATTTCACACCATCACAGCACAAATACACATACAACAGCTTCCATCTTGGTATCCATGTGTACAGAAATGTTCACTTGTTCGAATTATAACGCTGGCCTTTGTTCATACCTGCTCCCGCCAGAGATATCTTGTGAAATCCTGCAGGAAATGTGCTCTCCGTGAAAATGTAGAGGACGACAATCGACATGATCCGAAAAATCCCTAACGGCGCTACTTTCGATCGATCGCTGTAGTCGTGTGTGCGTGACGTCATGCCCGCGCGCATTGTGCTTGGCGGGCCTCGAAACGGAGCTTGGAGGCCGGCAGCAGCTCAAACTGGCATGCAATGCGCCCCATTACTCGTGTATAAACAGACATCTCGTCCTCTTTACATTTTCACGGAGAGAACATTTCCTGCAGGATTTCACGAGATATCTCTGGCGGGAGTAGGTATAAACAAAGGCCAGCGTTATAATTCGAACAAGTGAACATTTCTGTACACATGGATACCAAGATGGGAGCTGTTGTATGTGTATTTGTGCTGTGATGGTGTGAAATGAAGCGAGCGTCGAGCGAATTTCGCGACCCCCGCTTTCCTACCTGCTCTCTTATTCATGTTGTTTGTGCACAGCGCGGGCGTGCGGTGTACTTCACTACTTGCGTGTTGCAGATGAGCATTTGACTGGCATTTACAGGTGATTATATAGGCGAAATAGAGTAGAGAAACATTAAGACTTTGGTACATTTCGTGTTTATTTACCATTCATTTTTTTTATTGAGACGTTCCAAGTGCCTGTACTAGGCTGTGGCTTTATTGGTGTATTCCTCTGTTTAGACGCATATGTCTCATATCGAGTTTAGTCGCCTATGTTGTTATCGGCGATCTGACCGGTTTTTGACGTACGATCTTCAAATTTTGTCGGCGACTAGGTCGTAAGGGCGACCTGAGTTAGACTTTAGGCCTACCTCGTATCATCAAATTCGATGAAAGCAAATGGGGGTCCTCGGCTGTTCTTCAGGTCAATGAAGATGATTTTTCCAAACTTGTAGAACATGTCTTCCAAATCTTTGGCTCTAATATCAGGCGGCAAATTTCCTACATAAACTCTGCACTCATTCTTTCTAGACATGGTGTTCTTTGTTCGAATATTTGATATATATATATATTAGTATTAGTAACGGGTGATCACTACTCACGATACTAATAGTAATAAAATGGCGTCACTGGCGGTTGGTTTCCGCCAGATTTTTTCGAGTCCTTCCGTTCGATAGCGTCACTCCGCGCTATGCTTTATGGGTTGTTGAAAGCTACTATCGCGCGATACTATGACTAAACCAATGAGCTTGTGAGTAGCGCACAATTTAACCAATAGGAAAAGTGTGGTCACTCCTGGGTTAGGAAAACATGAAAATCTACAGAACGCTGCAATTTTCACAGGAGTTTTCAGGTCTGCTGGAGCAAGTTGACGTTCCTCGTTACCTGTAGTCGACCGCCTTTTCTTCCCACCGTTGAATTACATCCAAATCGTAAGTATGCGCTTGTTACTTTCTTGATATCGGCGTGTGATAAATGCCCCAGGTAAGCTCATTATGCGAACACGTGACCAACGACTTACATTTCACGTCATAAAAGTGATCACGTGTGTAAACACTTCACTTGTACTTGTAGTTGTACCGTACATTGCATGTGTAGCGGTTACAGCAAAACGATCCGTTTGCCGTTACAGCGAATAATCGTAAATGGACGTTTGTAGGCCTAGCACGGGCTCCAGGCTGTAGTTGTGTTGGAAACATGGATAACTTTCCTCATAAATTTGCACCACGACTACTAGTAGTATTATCTTTATAGTTTTATACGTATATACCGTTACGGTTACCAGCGTTATAGTACTTATACCATTACTCATAGTCATACCGACAGACATTACTTACAGTCGCGTATTTGATTTTTTCCCCCGATAAGTGCCAAAATGTCTGAGAGGAAGGCTGTGATCAAGAATGCTGACATGAGCGAGGAGATGCAACAGGATGCTGTCGACTGTGCGACCCAAGCATTGGAGAAATACAACATAGAGAAAGACATAGCTGCTTACATCAAAAAGGAGTTCGACAAGAAGTATAACCCAACTTGGCATTGCATTGTGGGCCGCAACTTTGGAAGCTACGTGACACACGAGACGAAGCACTTCATCTACTTCTACTTGGGCCAGGTTGCCATCTTGCTATTCAAGTCTGGATAGACCACGAGCTGGTGTCACTTTTGGCTGTGCATGCAGATGATGTCACATCAAACTGCAGAACTTTACGACTTTTAAGTGGTTTTACCTGCCCAGTGACAGCTGAGCAAACTCCAGCAGGCATGTCTGCTGCCTGAAAATTCCCTGAGCTTTTCACATAACCAACTTGAGCTTTGCTGCAGTTTAACACTAGTGTGGGAAAGGCGCCAAACATAATCCACATACAGAAATTCTGTGTAAATTTTGTTGTAAACCTTGGCCTCCACCCAGCAATTCTTCTTTATTTTTAAAGACGAAAGCTCGCGAGTAGAATTTTGAAGATTTGCGTGGGTGCAGCAAGGGCAGATGCATTTCACTTGTTAAAAGTCTTGTATCAGGGTCCAATTATGTTAATCGTTAATAAGCTAAACTGAATAGCACCCGGTAGCTAGAAGATACCACATGAAACGTTTGTGGAGTGGTCAGCCTTTTGCAGTTACTAAAGGCCACTACTTCATTGGAAACTTATTGTGTGCAAAGTGTACATGTATATGGTGATGCACTATTTTATTTTGATGCCGTTTCTCGGTCTTCACACATGTACGGCACGTTAGCATTACGCGTTTCACCTGCATCACAGTTCGTTTCCCGAAAAAAATCACGTTTCATTGTGAAGACTTGGTTTGTTATAAATTTGTTTTAGTCATCGAAATGGTTGTTGCAAGACCAGTCTAGACAACCTATATGGTAACGTGAGAGGAAATATCCACGAGAAATAGCACCAGCAAGCGTTCTATGTCTCTGTCCTCTGTTCGGTGTTTTACGTTCCATGTTACGCCTGCGAGTCATGGAAACAGCACGTCAGGCCTGGCTTCACAAGGCTGTGCTCGTATCCTGCTTGGGCCTACCGCGTCGTTAGCCTCGTGAATGTCGGGAGTTATTTATGTATGTACAGCAAATTATATTATAATATAATTGTACAAATAAGTCACGAGTTATTGCTTACCAGACCCTTGTGGTTTCTATTCACTCTACACGCTAACATATACGATCAACACTAACAGCAGATATGATATTGCACAGCTCGCCTCCACTTTTTACAGTTGGCAGATATTCACATACTACATGCATGCTATGATACATAGCCTCCTGATTCATAGTTTGTGGTTGCACAGATCGCTTAATAATTTATAACCATGGCAAGCCCTAGATGGCACTGCACTGCTATTTTTACTCGAACACTAGCCGAGCTAGCATTGAATTTGCCTGCTTTTCACTGAATCGCCCAAGGCTAACGCACAAAATGCAATGATCACATTTTAAAGGCTCACAATGCGCATCCAAACGCTAATTTCTCCAGTACTAGACTAGCAAATGACAAAGTAAACTCTAGTTCCTCCCATTTCACTGCGCGTTGTCTTATAAAAGGTATTTGAAAATACCTCCAATGTTGTTCAAATTCTCCGATGTTGTTGACAGTTTCCCCAATCCCCAAGCAACCGTGCAGCAGTGCTGCGGTACAGCGGTACGGGTGTAGCAAAGATAAAAACATGTGACGTCACGTCACCACTTCGAGGCTATATTGTTTGGCAAACAGTCGGCGTTTGCGCCAGAATGCCAGTTTTCTCGCAAGAAAGAGGGCGCGTTTGCTTAAAACCCACTCCCATTTCACTCTAGTTGCTCCAGGAAACGGTATTGCTAGGGTTAGAATACCGTTTCAAATTCTTGCCCACAATTCC